TCAGCGGGATTCGAACCCTACTTTCATACGAATATAAGTAACGTTGTCGATTGCTATAGCAAACATACGTCTGCTTCATCGGCACTCCCACCAAAAAGAATATGATATAGCAGAGGCCTGACCTTCCTTGAATCTCACTTATGCCCTGTGACTCAAGGGTACTCGTGGCAGTGTAGCCGAGTGGTTAGCGTGTCAAGTTACCGTCCTGCACTGTCGTGGTTCGAATCCCGTTGAGGGTGTTGATAAGACCGATGTGCGGTCGAGACTGCCTGGATGAGAACAACTTTTGGGAAAGCAAGGCTATGTGAAATTCAATAGCGAGGTCGAAACTTCAGTCCACCCAGGATGAGAATAACTTTTGGGAAAGCAAGGCTATGTGAAATTCAATGTCCAATGCGAGGTCGAAACTGCAGTCCACCCAGGATGAGAACAACTTTTGGGAAAGTAAAGCTATGTGAAAATTCAATGGTACTGCAGTCCACTCAAGCCGGGATGAGAACAACTTTTGGGAAAGCAAGGCTATGTGAAATTCAATGGAGACCTGCAGTCCACTGGTGCCTGAATGAGAACAACTTTTGGGAAAGCAAGGCTATGTGAAATTCAATGGAAGGAAACTGCAGTCCACCCAGGATTAGAACAACTTTTGGGAAAGCAAGGCTATGTGAAATTCAATGGAAAACGCGCAGTCCACCCAGGATGAGAACAACTTTTGGGAAAGCAAGGCTATGTGAAATTCAATGGAAAAGTCAGCACCCAAAAGGTGTTCTCATCCAGGGTGTTGGGAAAGCAAGGCAATTTGAAATTGAATGGAAACGTCAGCTCTAATTCATATCATTGTGGGAAAATTCTACTACCAGTCCTTCATCACCTTACACGAAATAGGGTGAATACATCTCATCACACTGATAAGCATTAGAACAACTTTTGGGAAAGAAAGGCTATGTGAGATTCAATGGAAAAGTCAGCTAAACTCATATCATTATGTTTTTGGGAAAGCAAGGCTATGTGAAATTCAATGGAAACGTCAGCTCAACTCATATCATTGTGGGAAAATCTTTGGGAAAGCAAGGCTATGTGAAATTCAATGGAAAAGTCAGCTAAACTCATATCTACTACCAGTCCTTCATCACCTTACACGAAATAGGGTGAATACATCTCATTACACTGATTTACTGGTAGTTTTGAAACCCTACTTTCATACGAGAAAATCTTCATGTCAAAATTGGCGTGAGTAAGATACACAAAAGACTCTCTACGAAAGGGAGGATCAAAGTTGAACAGGACTTGTACACCTTCCAGCCAACAAGTCAAGC